TAAAAATTCGAGTAATAACATTAGTGAGAATTATCAGAATTATGCTTGGTTAAGTCAACGAGCAATTCTTGCCGCCAAGAAATATGATGTACACGCACTGAATTTCACCATTCAATCAAAAATTGCTAGCGATTTGGTGACATACCAATGATTCCGACTGGTCTTCCGTTTGACTTCAAACGATTGCAATTTCCATTTTGCCTTGCGTTCGCAATAACAAGTCGCAAGGCCAATTGCTTAGTGTTTGCGGGATAAATTTCAAATAGATTATTTAGAAAATCATTGTTTTTTACATGGGCAGTTATACGTTGCCTGTTCACAAGTTAGAAAACCATCCACTTTGTTTGTGTTAACGTCAGACCAAAAAACAAGAAATGGGGTTTACCAAAGAGCACTTCAATGAAAACGGACAATTTGCGGATTCACTTTCATTTACTTAGAGAAGTTCAACTAAAAAACACTTCATTTTTGTAATCGAAATGAAATCATTACTGTTGTATAATAAAATCAAATTTTTCCTTTTCAATTATAAAACAAAAAAACAATTTCTTTCATCTCCATCTTTCTCACGAAACCATCTGGTAGCGAAACGAGAGGTAAAATGTAAATACCATCATATTTACATAAGATGTCCATCGCTTTACGTCACTATCAGACTTGTAGTGTCCGATATTCCTTGCCGAACTACATTTATGATTATTTAAATGTCAACTACATACTTCTTGAAGGACGTGAACTAAAAATACGAAAAAAAATCGACTTCGAAGTCAATAAAATAACTTACAAGAGGTATCTTTTTATATAGAATGACAAAATATAGTGGTGATACATTTAATGTTATTTGGAAAATGTGATTTGGAAGAAATATTAATACTAGAATGAGAAATGAAAAATGTTTTTACCTTAGCTGATGTATAATTAGAGCGTACATAATAATAACAGCGGTGATACATCTAATGTTATTTGGAAAACGTGATTTGAAAAAAATATTAATAATAGAATGAAAATTATTTTTATCTTAGCCGAACTTATTTATAATTAGAACGTATATAATAATAATGTAAAATGTAAAAAACGTTAAAATAATGCTTACTAATTTGATCATTCCTTTTAGTTTAAAATTTTTTCATATTTTCACGTTTGATGGGTTTTCGAACATTTTGGCAAACCTCAAAAAAAATCTATGTGTGTGTGTGTGTTTTGTGAAAATATAATTTTTTGTCCACGTTTTCGGAAACACGAATCACACAATTTGAATAATTCAAAAAGCATTAGGCTTCTATTGGTAAGAAGAGGTGCTGATTAGTTTTGACAAAAGTAGGTCCAGCCGTTTAGGAGATAAGGAGCAAAGAGTGCAGAATATCAAAGTTAAGTTTTTGTGTGAACAGACCATCCGATTTGAATGATTCAATTGTAATCATAAGAAAAGGTGGTGATTCGTTTTGGCAAAGGCAGGTCCAGCCATTTCGGAGAAACAGAGCTGAAAGTACATAAAATAGAAGTTTTTGAGAGAATGAAGCATCTGATTTGAATGAATCAAAAAACATTTTGCTTGTGAAGAAACGATTATTATTTGGGGCAAGCAAAAAATATTAAAACATTTGAACTGTCATCTGTTAGAAATGACAATTCACTTAAATTTTGAATTTAGGTAATATTATGAGCCTAGATAATATTAGAATATAATATACAAGAAAAATGTAATGTCTTTATTATTATTGCTAAAAGCAGCTAAGATGTAGCAGAAATTAAAATAATATAAATTACAAACAATCAACAGTATTAGTTTGGCAGATGAAATTATATATTCAGTTTAATAAATAGCGCGATAAGTCCAAAATTGCATAAACATTCTTTTTTTAAACTTATGCATGTCGCATTTTGGTTTACAATACTAAATTATTGAACTATACAAAAAATATTTATACTTATTAAAAAATGATTTAGAATTTTGTTTCATGTGTCAAAAATTCATTTGTTTGGCATTGGATATGGAATATTTAGCAAGTTGATCTTAGATTGAAAAGTGCTCGTAGAAACTAAATTTTACAAATTGATTCACCTAAGATTTGAACATAAACAATAATGTTTATTAATTCATTAGTATAAAAATGTACTTTAGAAATTATAATTGCCAAAAAGCAACTAATATATGGTACGAGATTATAAAAATTATAGACTAAATTATTGAAGCAATTATGTTATACAGCAGATACTATATTAGCTTTTTCTGAATTTTTATACTGCTTATGCTTAAGACCATAAATGAATCACAAAGGCAGGACATCGAATAGGATATTAAAAAGTATAGGATTGGATAATAAAAAAAATTGGAACTTTTGAATTGTAGACGTGTACGACAACGTCTGTCGGGTCATCTAGTATATATATATATATATATATATATATAAATATATATATATATATATATGCATATCAAATAGAAATATGAAACTTTCTCTTTTTCCTCGACGAGAAAAAGGCCGACGTAAACATTTCTTTTGGCTTTTTTCGTCGCCGTCGTATAACTGCCTTTGATATGATAACGTCTTGGGCATATACAGAACATATATAACAGGCATATGTATAAATCGTTGGGCATCTCTCAGAGGAGGATGGGCATTTATGATGTGGAATGGGCTGATAAGTAAGGAGACTCCGAGGGTAATTTTTATAAAGCGAAGAATAGAATTTCCGCATAATTTGCTTGTCTCCACAACGCAAAGAACGCTTACATAAATACACCGTACGGATATTGTCATACGAGATATGTTATGTGAGCAAAGGAAAGAAATTACTGGGGGATAGAAATATTTTTTCTGTTTTATGATCTACTGTTGTATTCGAAATGCCGTAATCATTATTTAAGCGTTTTATGGTTATAGATACGCGATTTATGGGAGGAAAACGAATTCTAAATTGTATCTACGGATATTGGCTTAGCCATCAATTTGTTAACTTTTATTAGCTTCTCACGCAAAACTTACACTTGAACTAGTGGTGGATGGCATTATATATGAGGTAAATTGCTGGAACTTCCCGTAACGCAATGCAAAATTCGAGGAATATTGAGTGTTTTCGAATAGATTATTATAAATACTGTAACATTGTCTGATATTTATAAGAATTATATAAAGAATTTCAAAGTTGAAATTATTTGTCTAAAGTATAATAGAACATTAGTGAGAATTAAAAATAAAATCTGATTTATTTTCTCAAAAAAAATTTTTTTTCCGAAAATAAATTGTTAAAAAAATTCCAACAATTTTTTTTCCAAAATTAATTGATTTGTTTAAACGAGCAGAAAGTTTTTTGAATAATTGAAATCGGACGATTAGTTCTCTCAAAATATGCAATTTTTGTATTTAGCTCTGTATCTTTGAAATGGCTGGGCCTACTTTTGACAAAATCTAATAGCCATTTCTCCTCATCATTACGAATTGATTGTTTTTTATATCATTCAAAACCGGATACTCCGTTCTTTCAAAACCTCGATTTCTATTTTCTACACTCTTTGCTCCGTATCGCCGTAACGGCTGGACCTGCTTTTGCCAAAAACTAGTCAGCACGTCTTTCTATCAATAGGAATCGAATGTTTTTTTTAACGATTGATCGGTGCTACCAAAATGGTAAACGAAAAAATTTAGATACAAAAAACACTAATCATTTAGAAACTTCTGAAACGTAAAGATATGCTAAAATTTTTGATTTCGAATGGACAATTACAATTACTTACGGAAAGTTAACTAGTAAAAAGTGGAATTTTGTAGGTTTTGAAACTTTGTGGACTGCTCACTTACTTTTCTGCTAATTTCAGAGCCATTTCTAATCGTTTATCGATGATTGTTATCGAATCTCTTTACAAAACTAATCGCGGCCCTTTAAAAAAAAATTCGTTTAAAATGGCTTTTGAATTTGTAAAATAGAAATTTTGACTTAACACATCACAAAAGCGACTTCTATTAAAATTTATTATATAATTGTATTATACTCTTTCAAACTTTAATGATTTTTTAAAATTAAAGGACTTGTCGTAGATCTGTAATATTTTAGTATGTTCAATGAGACTAATTCTGACAGTTAATTACAAGAAACGATCGATCTTCAGCAATAACTAATCAGTATCTTTCCCGACCGATTTGAATA